CAATTATGTTTCCAACCATAGAATAAATGTGGATGTTATATTGACAACTTAATGATTAGGTGGAGAGTCCCAAGTCAGAAGTACATGGATTTGAAAGCCAACTATTTTCATATCAGCAGTCTGATTTTTATTCTGGTAGATTTGTGCCATTCTTCACTTCTTTGTGTGTAAAATGGGTGCAATACCATATTTAGATTAATGCTTAGTCAGATACACTAGGTAAATAAGCACTACACTTTCCATAAATCATCTTTACCGTAAGAAGTTCTTCCAAGTGAATCATATCTACTGAATCATGAAAATTCCTTATCTTAACTCATTACTATCATTCTCCGCTGTAAAATTTCTATTTTAATAGAATCAGTTTCTTTATTGATGATCCAGACTTTTTATTTTTTTTCCTTAAGTACTTTAAATGTGATTGCTTTCTATCCTTTGAAATACTAGTCACTGTTTCCTGGATGAAGCTGTCTGCTAAATTCAACATCTGAATGCAGTAATAGACAGTTCCCACTCACTACAAGCTTTCCACATCAAGCAGGCTTCAGTCCTTCCTTTTTCTGTTTTTCGTGACTCATAGATCTTTGCTGAAAATTACTCAGTTTGTGATATGTTTTCATAACTCTGAATTAAACTTTTTCCCTTTTTGCACTAAGGGTAATTGCTCCAGCCATGTTCCTTACATTCAATTTTGTTAATTCATTTTAATTTCAATTGTAGGGAATTAACTGGTGCGATTTTTGGCTACAAATTTCGCTTGGCTCCTGCACCCACATGGGAGACCCAGAAGAAGCTCCTAGCTCCTGGCTTCAGATCAGCTCAGCTCTGGCCATTGAGGCTAATTGGAGAGTGGACCAGCGGATGGAAGACCTCTCTCTCTCTGTCTCCCCTCTCTCTGTGTAACTCTGACTTTCGAATAAATAAATAAATCTTTTTTTTTTTTTTTGACAGGCAGAGTGGACAGTGAGAGAGCGAGACAGAGAGAAAGGTCTTCCTTTTGCCGTTGGTTCACCCTCCAATGGCCGCCGCGGCTGGCGCACTGCGCTGATCCGATGGCAGTTGCCAGGTACTTATCCTGGTCTCCCATGGGGTGCAGGGCCCAAGCACTTGGGCCATCCTCCACTGCACTCCCTGGCCACGGCAGAGAGCTGGCCTGGAAGAGGGGCAACCGGGACAGAATCCGGCACCCTGACCGGGACTAGAACCGGGTGTGCCGGCGCTGCTAGGTGGAGGATTAGCCTATTGAGCCACGGCGCCGGCTAAAATAAATCTTTAAACATATATATATATTGGAGATTAAATATGACTTAAGGAGATGCAGGTGAGTACCAGACTAAAAAAGGGTGGACTAACGATGGATGTGCCAACTCCACGGGCTATATGTTGACCAGACGACTGGCAAAAATTATTTCTGGGTGTTCCATCAAGTGTGTTTTTAGCAAAGATTAGAATTTGAGTAGAATGAGTAAAGCAAATGACCCTCATCAGTGATGGTGGGCATCAGTCCAATCCATAGGGGCCCTGCATCTAATAAAAAGGCAGAGGAAGGATGAAGTTGTTCTAGATTTGCCTTGCAGCTACAATTTCAGCCCAGAGTTTGAAAAACGGGAATCACTGGCTTCTCAGCAAACATAATATTTGCCGATTCCTTATAATACTTATCTATTAATCTGCCCATCAATCCTATTCTGTTTCTCTGAAGAATCCTAGTGCACACATTAGAAAACATGCATTGCCCTTGACAATTAACACACAGTCTCTAGACGGTCTATTATGCACTCAAATGCTTTATGGACAATCAACAAACTGCATTTCCTCAGGGAAAGTCTCCAAAAAGTGAATAAAATCCATAAATTGTTCTAAGTAGGCCATATGTGAAACACAGGGTGGACACAAGAGAGAGGGAGAAAGAATGTTTCATAGACTGCTACGTAGTCACAATGTTCCAGGGGCGTAGTGAAGCTCCACTTTAATTTGCCAGCACAATCATAGAAAACTGCTAACGTCTGTCATTCAGTTCTGTGCTTTCCACTAATCACCGAAGCCTGAGAAGAAATGAGATGTGTCAGTTTTTCATGTCAGGTGAACTTTTGAAATATTTTTACATGTTTTGAGAGGCTTGCTGCTTACGAGCATCTTTGAAACACATCTTGAATTGCCTATAAATTATCAATTTTACATAAATAATTTTATCTTCAGATGAAGCCAAAACACGAAGAAGGTAGCACATCTAAAAAGTCTGAATTATTTTTAAATGTCAAGATTTAGGACTGCTAATATTTATTTGCTCATGTCATTGTTCTTCTAAGTACCTGGTTATTTAGTTACTGCACTTCTATGATTTTTAAAAACAAATAGTGAATGTTAAAATATATGTGTAGGTATTATTAATTCCCCGTTTCCTGAAATAAAGGTTTTTTTCCTCATACTCAGCTTTGAAAAGCATAATTTCCATATTAGAAAACTTTTAAGACAACAGATTTATGTCAGAATACAGCATTAATATGCACTTTAATTTTCAGAGGGATCTGACAAAAACGCATGTAATTTTCTCAAAGAGTATATGTTTTTTAAAGGTAATTGATATTCAGTAAAACATTAAAATTGAAAAAGCAATCTTGTACTTTTTCTAGAATTCCAAGGACTGTCAGATGAAGCTCATTTATCTTTTCTTGCATGACAATAAAACAAATGTTTATCAACTGTATTATTTTTATTTGACTTTCATAATTGCAAAAGAAAACAAGATTCAAGATTTATATGGCATTGCATTGCATTTGCTGAGTTTTTTCATAATATCATTATCTGCTGGTACACATTTCCATATTTCTAAGATAAGAAAGGTGTGTTCATGGTGTCAAGGCAGGATAACAAGAAGTCACAATCTTATAAATGATATTTTAATTGATTTAACTGCAAATTACCTACAATCCTCTTTGTGTTTAGTATGTTTTTTTATATTTTATTTTTATTTATAGCTGAGACAAAGATTATTGTCAATACAATTCTTTGTAAATAGCAAATTTTTTCTTTGTTAGCAGCATTTGGGATTATAAATTTTTAAAAAAATAATTCTTCTATTCTGGTTTGTTTTTATTCTTCAGATTATTATTGATAGTCAAGCATGTTTAAATAATTATATACGTTTAACTGCATTATATGTTATATCATAATTTGTGTATAACTCTTATTTAGAGCATTTTATTTACAATATCATTATATTCAAGTGGTTTTAAACAACTTTTTTCTTAATGTTTTTATTCAAACATAAGTTTTCATAAATTTATGTCCAGTGACTTCTCCTTTTCTCAATTTGCTCAGATTGCCTCATTTTCAATTTTTTTTCATGATAAACTGCGTTTCATTGTTTCATTAATGTATCTCCATTGTAATGACAATGCCCTGTGAGGAATAGTAAAACAGTTTTATGTGAAAATAATTTATGTGAAAATTTATTAAAACAGTTATGGAAATAGAAAATAAGCAATCCAAATGAATAATCCATTGATTGCCGAATTTTGTCGTAGATGGGGGAGTGATTTGAAGAATGGGATGAGTTTCAAGTACCACAACCTGTTTGGTCTGCTTCTTACTTAAGCATCATTATACCCTGACAGAAAAGTTAACTCATAATTCAGAATATGTTATAGGTATGTATGCAAGGAAATATTTTTCAGGTAGGACACAGTCACAAGCTCATAAACAAACACAAATCTCACTATGCACTTGTTATTTAAAAGCTATTTCATGTTGGTATAAATACGCTGAATAATTTAATCTTCCCTCATCCTTGCCAACAACACATTTGCTTTTGAAGATGACAGTAAATGAGTTTTAGATAAATTATTTGTCCAAAGTAACCTTTTAAATATACCATAAATTAAGATACACCACAAAATATCTCTCCATACATGTATATCCTGATATTTTCCTCAATAAAAATTAAAAATAATTATCATAGTGACCTATTATTCTGTGCTTTTATATATATATACATATATATATATATCCAATATTTGTCAAGTGTATTGAAATTTCCACTATACTACATCTAAGGGTAAGAGTTTTTAAAAGACCATTTTTTTTTATTTTAAAGTAAGCAAATTTCATGTACCCCATATACGAAATTAAGGAACATAGCAATACCTTCCAAGCATCTCCTACCCTTCCTCCTTTTTCCTTTCTTCGTCCCTTTCCTAATTTTTACAATGATCTACTTTTGGTTGACTTTATATTCCTAAGATTAATCCTACACTAGTAAAGAGTTCAACAAATAGTAAGAAAAAAACACTGAGGACCATGGTTTAAAGCAAGTTGCTATATGCATTTTGGGGATTTATGGTTTGAGTTTTTTTGTAATACCGCAGTTTTTGTGATATATAATTACATTTAGTTTATAAATATGTTTGCAAGATTGTATAATTTATAAATATGCTTATAAGATTATAAATACTATAATAATCAGCCATATATCAAGTATCTTGAACTTTTATACTCTTTCCTCCCTTAGAATTCTTGTTTATATGAGTAATTACACAATATCTATCTACTGTTTCTATCTACCACTTATTTATTTGTTCAACATTGTTCTTCAATCTTAACACTATTGTTACTTTGGGGTGGCTATTTTTATGCAGACATTGGATAAAGTAGGATTCTAGAAGTTTAAATGTTCTCTAACAATGATAGATAAACAACAGCTATCTCTCAGAAGTGACAAAGAAAATGTCTTTAGGTACTGGAAATTTTATTTTGTGAGTAAAAGTAGCCCAAGTTGAGTTAATATGTATATATGGATAGAGAGAGAGATAGAGAGAGATAGAGATAGAGAGAGAGAGATCCTTATCTGTGACAGATGGGTCCAATTTCAAATATCATAAAATGGAAAGTTTTGGGATATCTTATTTATTATGACATAAAATATCTCCCACTAAACAAAACAGAAAACTTATTAATTATGATGATGTCTTTCTCTGAAATAGGGTTTCTGATTAACCTGGATGGAAAAACACAACCTCACAGTGGTGAAGGAATTCATTCTGATGGGAATCACAGATCGCCCTGAGCTGAAGGCCCCATTATTTGCATTGTTCCTCATCATCTATCTGATCTCAGCAGTGGGTAACCTGGGTATGATCATCCTCACCAAGATAGACAGCAGGCTACAAACACCCATGTACTTTTTTCTCAGACACCTGGCTATTACAGATCTTGGTTACTCTACAGCTGTGGGACCCAAAATGTTAGTAAATTTTGTTGTGGAGCAAAACATAATATCCTATTATTTTTGTGCTACGCAGCTAGTCTTCTTTCTTGTATTCATTGGTTCTGAACTTTTTATTTTGTCGGCAATGTCTTATGATCGTTATGTGGCCATCTGTAACCCTCTGCTCTACACAGTCATCATGTCAGAAATGGTATGTCACATACTGGTGGCAATCCCCTATCTCTACTGCACATTTGTGTCTCTTCTAATCACCATAAAGATCTTTAATTTACCCTTCTGTGGTGACAATGTCGTTAGTCATTTTTACTGTGATAGTCTCCCCTTGCTATCTTTGCTCTGCTCAAATACACACGAAATAGAGTTGATCATTCTGATCATAGCAGCTGTTGACTTGATTTCTTCTCTGCTGGTGGTCCTTGGGTCTTACCTGCTGATCCTAAGAGCCATTCTCAGGATGAACTCTGCTGAGGGCAGACGCAAAGCTTTTTCCACCTGTGGATCTCACCTGACAGTAGTCACCGTATTCTATGGGACTTTGATATTTATGTATGCACAACCCAAATCTACCCATTCTTTTAACACTGATAAAGTGGCTTCCATATTTTACACCTTGATTATACCCATGCTGAATCCTTTGATATACAGTTTAAGGAACAAAGATGTTACTTGTGCCCTAAAAAGGACATGGAATAATGTGTGCAGTATTTTTTCTTCAAGTGTGCATACAACATGATTTATGTAAGTTAGGTTGTGAGTGTCAATCTCAGCTCTGTGTGCCTCTAAAATCAGTAAGAAGAACAAATAGGTTCAATATATGTTTTCTGTTGTCTTTGCATTGTTGTTCATAGATGAATGAGCAAAATAATAAAAATATTTGCCTTTTTTTCTTAATGATAATTTTATAGAACATTAGGTCATGCCACCCAGATAAAGACCAAATGAAACTGGGCAAGAAAAGTGAGTTTGCTGAGGGGGAATTAAGAACTATGTTAACTCAGAATGAAATGATGAGGACTTCTGTGATTTCAACTGTTTCCATGTTAACTCTCCTGCATTTCTTTGCTGCATTTGGAATTGTATCCCAAATCAGTTATTTACATGACCTGTGTTGTTGATTTGAATGTTTGTAAATGCACTGAATTAAAAATTATTCCGAACATTGGAACCCAATTTTCCCTTAACAAAGGCTTTGATTTGGCTCACCTCTGGCCATTGCTGCCATTGGGGAGTGAACCAGTGGATGGAAGATCTTATCCTCTGTTTCTCCCTCTCTCTCTTTGTAATATTACTTCCCAAATAAATAAATAAATAAATAAAATCTTTAAAATTGTAAACACAAAGAAAGTGATCTGATCCAAAGCCAGGAGCCAGGAGCTTTTTTTGGTTTCCCACAAAGAGTGCAGGACCCCAAGCACTTGGGCAATATTCCGCTGCTTTCCCAGGAAAAGAGCTGGATCAGAAGAGGAGCAGCCAGGCCACGCACTGGTGCCTACACTGGATGCCAGCACTGCCCGCCGAGCCTTAGCCTATTATGCCACCCACTGAACTGTCCTCTGATGATTGTTGTTAGTGAACTATCTTTTCACTGACTTTCCCAGTTTAACTGCATCAGTTGATTGCTGTGGATGTGAGAGACAAAAATAGGAAAATCTACTCTAGATTTTGGAAATGTCTCTTGGTGGTTACAGACTTTCATTATCACAAGTGAGGTCTGATGTTTAGCTAAAGTGCAATTATCTTGCCTAACACTGGAAATAGTTGTACCATGTAACTTCCTACAATATTCCATGTAAATTTGTTAATTTTAAAAAATATCCTATTTTCTTAGTTCACCATGATGAAATTAAATTCCACATACTGCCAATGAAAGTTGATTGAATACTTCTTGTTGGAGTTGGATTGATATATAGAAGCATATAGTGCATAGTTATATGAATATAAATATCACATTGTTTATGCAAATAAAATGAATCTTTAAGATAGTTACAGGAGCTACAGGGTAATAATGATGTTTTACACTTACTCGGTACTCTGTTATAGACATTCTTCTAGTCTACATTAATTTAGTCATCACCACACCAGTAAATTCAGTTAATCAAAATATTAGATATTAGAACTGTTTTTCAAAGTCAGATTACCTAGCTCCAGATATTTTAATGTTAACAACTACCCAAAATTATATCTTAACCTTATTTTCTTCATTGATGACAGTCTGAATTGATAAAGAGTAAAATCCCACATTGGCAGGTGTCAGAATAGAAGAGGAGACTCTCAGGGATTAGTTTTTAATACAAATAAGTTCTGGAAATCAAAGGTATGATGTGGTGAGTATGGTTCATAACACTGCATTTTTACTTGAATTTTATTGAGATGGCAGCATTCAAGCATCCTTACCTGCCCATATCTTCACACACACTTACATAGAGGGTAAATAAGAGTGGTGATAATTATGTTAATTAATTCAGTTGTAGTAATCACTATATGTATACTCTAGACATAGAAATCATATCTTATTTATCTATTTAATACTCTATATAAAATAAATAAGAGTAAAGATGCCTAATACCTTGCTAAAATAAAAAATGAATTAAGTAGACATAATTAATTAAATAATAGTCTCAAAAATAAATGCTTATGTCCTTTTTAGATGAGTGACTTTGCTGAGGTAGAAAATCATTACAAACTGGTTAGATGTAGATGGTTTGAGTAGTTTTTTTTTTTAATAAATTGTTGAGTAATTATTAGCATTAAGTAGTCAAGAATGTTCAAAACAAGAAATAATCAACTATTTCCATTATTTCTGTCCAGAGAAATTCAAACACTTTTCGGAAAGGGAGATTACAGAGAAGCAGAGTTGGAAAAAAAAAAGGCTACAGGTTATTACTGTTGATTAAGTGGAAGAAGACTACCAGGGTGAAAAATAATAAATTCTCCTTCCCAAAATGAGATATCTGTGAGGTTTAAATTTATTCCTTATCATCTTCTTCTTGCAACTGAAATATTTTATGTGAGCTTTTCAACTATTTGGGGTAATAATTTAATAATAAACACACTGGTACTTATACTATTGAGCTTCTCAGGTAACAAAGATGAAAGTCACCCAACTCTAATATTAGAAAACTGTCTTTTTATTAAACAGTTTTCATTAAGCACCATTTCTGAGGAGACCATTACTCATATAGTGAAATATTTTCTAAGTGAAACAATGGAGAACAAACAAGGCAAACATTTGTGAAGGCTGGACAACATATTGTTCCAAACTGTTTGCTTCATGAAGGCTAGAGTGAAAAAGAATACATATCTCAAAGATGCACAATATATTGAGTATTACTATGACTAATGCAAACATCCAAAGTTACCCACAACAATAAGCAGACAGATGAAAAGGAACATCATATAACTAAAAATGTCTATGAACCTCAAGAAAATAAATTTTACTAGTTAATCTATATAATTTGTCATGAAAGAATTCCTGAAAATGAGAAAAGGGATAGTTACAAAGGAATTTGAGCATGAAAGTTAAATATTATCATCTTTAGGATTACAATTCCTCTGCAATTTGAAAAAATGCCATGACCTAAAACCATCTCCATATTCCCAAGTGTCCAGCTGAGTCTTCACATGATTTCTCAATTGAGGGATGTACCACCAAGTGGAAAGGAATGAGGAATGACAAATTGGGAATTCTCCTGAGAAAGAGTGAACTATTTAAGGTCTAAAAGCAGTAAAGAGGATTCCACAGGCGAAAAACAGGTGTAGCTACATTTTAATCTTCAGAATTTTAGCATTCCGCCCTTGGAGAAGGAGCAGTAAAGCCTTTACAAGGGCATGTGATCCTTCTCCTCTGACCTCAACTGTGTCATATCTGAGCAGAAGTCACCTTGTATTTACAATTAACCTTAAATTCATAAGCTTCTCCATGATAAAATATAATATTTGTATGATATTCATTAAATCTCAACAAAGAAGCCTTATATAATACATGAGATAATAAGATATGAAATTGTACTTACTCCTATAATTGATAGCTTAATATTCATTTACCACTCACAGTAATAAAAACCATCCACACTATGGTGCACAAAATAAAAACGCGTTTTTCATTCCTTTGTAGAAAATTGTAGCATTTTAAATAGTCATCTTTTCTGGATCAAGTACTTGGGGACTGGTTTTTGCAACCGTTTGGAGAATGAATCAATGGATAGAAGATTCTCTCTCTTTCTCTCTCTCTCATCTCTCCCTCTTTTTATCTCTCCATCACTATCAATCTGCCTTTCAAATACACAAAAATTTTAAAAAACAAACTAAAAACAGAAGCTCATCTCATCATGTAATTTTTGACCATTGTATCTGATATCAACTCTATGAAACTTATGTATTTATTTTAAAAATAATTGATTTAAAACTAATAAATACTCTCAAGGCTTTCCTTTTAACAAATCATTAAATTTTCAAGTATTTTGAATATAAATCAATAAATTTAGTAATTATGGAATGACCATAGTTTCTTACTTCTGTGGAATGGTTTATTTGTAAATGATCTATAATTTCAGATCAGGATTATAAATTTACTTTTTTCCAGTTTTATTTTATGCCAGTTTGTTTGAAGTATAGTCACAGATCATGTAACTTATTTGTTTTCACTTTACAAGTCATTGGATTTCATATTCACAAAATTGGTGTGTATATCTCAACAATCAATTTTAGAACAAATTCATGGATCCAAGATGGAGCAGGTGCATTGACAATTGGTCCTCATTGCTCCTCAATACCTCTTGCACTCAGCTCTGAGGAAATCAGCAAACTATATTTGAGTCTCTATGGATTTGCCAATTCTGAAATTTTCAAATAGACATAATCACAAAATAGGTGGTTCTTTATCATTAGATTCTTTCACATTAGAAGAAACCTGGACATTTTGTGTTATATTCTGAGACTAGACATTATTGAATTATTTGTTTTTTTTTTTTTTCTGAATTTCTTTGATAATCTCTGGTAGAAAAGGAGGAATTAAGTCTTTACTACCACATGCTTCACCTGATCTTCATGAACAGCTGAAGCTGGGGAAGAAGCCCTTAAACATCTGAACAGATCTGAGAGGCCCAGCACCAACATGGTCTCCACTATTGCTGCATTGGTGATGACCTCATTACTACTGGGAAATACCCTGCTCAAGTACTACTCTAGCAAAGAAGGAGAAAGAAAGATGTCTCTTCTGTGTTCTGCTGGACTTCTAGGACCCATACAGGCCTCCAATGACATCATATATTAAGAGGGAGGAGTTTCTTTACTAGAAAGTAGGGAAGAAAGTCCCGGCTTCTACTTGGTCTTCTTAAACCTCACACACACCGATGTGTTAACAAAATCATAGCAAATTCCTGACCATATTATCTCACATTGGACTTTGTCTGTGTGGGTGAGAATGGGAAGAGAGGTAGGAGATGTGACAGACACCATAACTTCAGTAGCTGATGAAGTGACTCGGGTCAGAGCACCTATCTACCAGCAGCGAGAAAGCACTATTGTGAAACGGCAGGGACCTGTGACTCATGGCTCTTGTTTACATGTGTGACACAGGGTTTTTACCAGAGGGAAATATCTGTTTTCCACATTGACTTCTAGACTGGCTGGGAGAATTGCTAGGGGCTAGGCACCGACATAGAACTGTGAAGTGTGCCCAGTGTCTCAACATCTCACAGGCTCTGGGGTTGAAACTGTGTAAGTGGAGCACCC